GGTCGACGCCCCTTCCAGTCCTGTGGTCGACGCCCTTTCCAGTCCTGTGGTCGACGCTCTTTCCAGTCCTGTGGTCAACGCTTTTTCCAGTCCAGAGGTCGACGCTCTCTCCAGTCCAGAGGTCGACGCTCTCTCCAGTCCAGAGCTCTTTCCAGTCCAGAGGTCAACGCTCCTTCGTATCCAGAGGTATATGCTCCTTCGTGTCCAGAGGTCGACGCTCCTTCGTGTCCAGAGGTCGACGCTCCTTCGTGTCCAGAGGTCGACTCTCCTTCGTGTCCAGAGGTCGTTGGTCCCTCGTGTCCAGAGGTCGACGCTCCCTCGTGTCCAGAGGTCGACGCTCCCTCGTGTCCAGAGGTCGATGCTCTCTCCAGTCCAGAGGTCGACGCTCTCTCCAGTCCAGAGGTCGACGTTCTTTCCAATCCAGAGGTCGATGCTCTTTCCAGTCCAGAGGTCGACACTCTTTCCAGTCCAGAGGTCGACGCTCTTTCCAGTCCAGAGATCGACGCTCTTTCCAGTCCAGAGGTCGACGCTCCCTCGTGTCCAGAGGTCGACGCTCCCCCGTGTCCAGAGGTTGACGCTCCCTCGTGTCCAGAGGTCGACACTCCCTGGTGTCCAGAGGTCGACGCTCCCTCGTGTCCAGAGGTCGACGCTCCCTCGTGTCCAGAGGTCGACACTCCCTGGTGTCCAGAGGTCGACGCTCCCTCGTGTCCAGAGGTCGACGCTCCCTCGTGTCCAGAGGTCGACGTCCCCTCCAGTCCAGAGGTCGACGTCCCCTCCAGTCCAGAGGTCGACGTTCTCTCCAGTCCAGAGGTCGACGTTCCCTCCAGTCCAACGTCTTCGCCATCTCCAATCCAGTGGTCGACACCGTCTCCAGTCCCATGGTCGACGCCGTCTCCAGTCCAGTGGTTGAAGCCGCCTCCAGTCCAGTGGCCGATGCCGCCGCCTCCAGTCCAGTGGCCGTCGCCGCCTCCAGTCCAGTGGCCGACGTCGCCGCCTCCAGTCCAGTGGCCGTCACCGCCGCCTCCAATCCAGAGGTCGTCGCTGCGGCCTCTAATCCAGAGGGCGTCGCCGCCGCCTCCAGTCCAGAGGTCGTCGCCGTCGCCTCCAGTACAGAAGTCAAGGACGTCTCCTCCGGCGTCTCTGCCTCCGGTCACCGCCAGTCCTGCCCTCACCAGATGCAGGCCCCCAAGAGCCCATCGTCGCCTCCTCCTCTGCCACAGATGCAGGCCTCCAAGAGCCCGTCGTCGCCTCCTCCTCTGCCACAGACGCAGGCCCCCAAGAGCCCGTTGTCGCCTCCTCCTCTGCCACAGACGCAGGCCCCCAAGAACCGGTCGTCGCCTCCTCCTCTGCCACAGACGCAGGCCCCCAAGAGCCCGTTGTCACCTCCTCCTCTGCAGAAGATGCAGGCCCCCAAGAGCCCGTTGTCGCCTCCTCCTCTGCCCTAGACGCAGGCCCCCGGACTCTACTGGTCCCTGCCTCCTCTCCATCGGTCTCTCGGTCCCTCTTGGCCCTCCCTCCGGGTCCCCCTCCTCCCCCCCTGCTCTGTGTTCCTATGGGCGTCTGGAATCCGCCCTTTGGGGGTGTGTGTGTGGGGGGGTGGGGGAGGGGGGGGGGGTACTGTCACACCCTGTCATGTCTCCCCATTTGGTTCAGCCATGTGTCTCTGTTAATTGCTCCTACCTGCCTCTCGTTTTCCAATCACCCAAGCTCCCAGCCCTCTTGTATTTAAACCCCCTTCAGTTCTGTGTCTCTTGTTGGATCATTGTTTCTATGTCCTACGTGCTTGATATTAAAGCTATTGTAAAACCTTTCCTACCTGTCTGCCTGCCTTCCTCACCCGCGTGTGAATCCTCACCTCATCTCCGCTTCGCTCACCGGCACGTTTGTGACAAAATGGATCATTGCAGGAACAATATTCATTTAATAGCCATCATTGGTTTAGCCACAGATTATTCAAACATTTGATTTAAACATCTTGTTCATTCAACACATTTGATTATTTCAATTTATAAGCTGTAAAGTTATTTATAATTCAAGATGGCTTTTCCTCAGAGTGAAAATGCAGGAGTCTGCATGAGGCCTTGAGCACCGATGTTATGGCGTCTTGTCGTAGCAAGAACTGTGGCAGAGTCTTGTTTTGGAGTTCGGAGGTCAGCCAGACGGTGTGTTTGTGTCTGCAAATTAAAGGTTACTTTCTAGTCAATTTGTTGGTAAGTTACACATACATGATTATTATTATTACTTCATAATCAAACAACGGATTCAAAAAATGTCGGCTGGGAGATTTTCTTTGAATAATTGTAATTTCAGTTTTCATTGTATGGATCTCCTCCAGTGAGTAACACAGCCACCTTTATATGTCCCGGTCATCTCGGTGGCGGTAATGTGGAGCAGCTGTTTAACACTCTTGTCACAAACAAGCATGTCTTTATAACATCAGTAGTTGTTCTGACTGAAAGGAGAGTTTCTCTGTGACAGTTTGACACGAACTTTAGTTTTTACTGGTTAACTTTGAAATTAAAGGATTTAACGACAGACCCAAAAACTTAATGCATGCTCCATTCTTCGAAGGCTAAATAAGAATTAAGGGAATTATAGGGCAAAATGTCTTTATGACCCCTTTTTGCCCCTATCCTCTAATCAGTGAGGGACACCATCAATAACAATGACTTTGGCAGAGAACAGCCTCTTCATGTCTGTATGACATCCCTCTCTGGTTTACTCTGACCTTGACACTGATGAGAAGATGACACACAAAAGATTTTATAAACATTTTCATGTTAAAAGTTACCTAAACCGTTGTAGTTTCTTCAAGATACAGCGGCAGTTTGTGTTTGACAAATGTACTAATGAGTATAAAGACAAAACCAATGAATCATGAGAACAAAAATTGCTTTAAAGTGACTGTGTGTATTTTTCCTGGTGATGGGGGTAGTTGAAACCTAAGTTGTTGCAAGCAAACTGTGGGTGTTTCGCAATGTCAAGGCGCCTGTCCTTGCAAGGCCAGGTGCCTTACTTACGAGGACACTGTCCTGCCTTGGTCAAAGAAAATGGTTAAATAGAATAGACTTGCGTCACGTCATTGTGGCTTCCACATTGGTCACGTAACGGCATGTGACACAAGAGACCACTATATATTTTACATGTACTTGTTTCAATATAAATATACAACAAGCCTTTTTAAATTGTGTAAATATTTGTTAAATTAAACTTATAAGCTAGTTACTACCCGCTAGCCACCGAAGCTGCAACTACTAAGCAACTAGCCAACCATAGCTAACTTCTTTGGATCTAAAATAAACATTTAAAATTAGCTGACGTACATTTACATTTTACATTTGCCCTCTTCAACTTCTTTGGATCTAAAATAAACATTTAAAATTAGCTGACTTACATTTACATTTGAAATTTGCCCTCGAAGAAGCTGCCGGCATCAGATCTGCCATTCTTTTGAAAATACCACGGTGTATTCTGGATAATTTTTGACCATCTCTCGTGTATCCTTGCACAGCTAGCTAAACGGCTAACAAATGGAGACTACACACCTCGGTAAAACATGAACATCAGAACACGTTTTGGTGGCTCCTGATGACGTATCTCCTAGGCAACCAGGGCGGGGCCAAGACATCAAGGTGAGGTTCCTTGGCATTGAGAAACACCCCGTATTTTTGTGTTGGAGTAAAGCCCTGGGGAGTGAAAACTTCAGCAAAATGACAAGCAGATCAAACTTCATTTCATCAGTGGCAACGAGTAAAGACATAAATGTGTTAAACAGCGATTATGAATGGTGAAAGTTTTTTAACCATTTGTTAAAAATCAGTGAATGTTTTTGTCCTCAAGGGCTCCAATAGAAGGAAACATGGCGTCTAACATGGCGTCGCCCTGAGACTTAGGGTGTGTCCGAATCCACGGGCAGGATGCTTATGAGTACGTGTCCTCGCCGGGTCCTTGCTAGACCGCTAAGACCAGAACCCAGCGGATCTGAATTCAGACAGTCTAGCCTTCACCTCTATGGTGGCCCGTAGGTCCCGTCACAGCCGTGGCGGCAGCTACATGCAAAGGAAAAATGCTAAAGCTAGCGAAAATCAAGCAGGAATATTAAGGAGCTACAGCAGCTCTTCACGTCCATCAGCAGCGTTTGTTCACAACCGTTTTCAGGTAAAGTAACTTTGTTTATTCTAGAAGCTTTCAGGACTTACATGTTAATTTTAGATGGTTTCATGTATGTTTGAAGCTACAGAATGAACTTGTTAAATGTGCACAACACATTACTACTGAGTATTAACATGTAGGTAATTAATATAAACCTAATGCATCATAAATGTTGAATGCAGTAGGATGTTTTCTAATGTAAACTGGACCTTAGAACTTCTTATTTTGCATCAAATGGGGTAAAATGCTTTAAAAAAAACAGACTTCTTAATAAAATAGCATTGAAGTGCTTTCAATCTGCATTTGTTTATTCAACTTAAGCCTAATAATTATTAGATCTGTCTTGAAAATGTAAATTCTCTGTCGTTTTTATTTAACTGCTGCTTTTCTTTAAACCAACCAGTGTACTACAGGTTATATGTTTTGTTTTACATTTTTCAATAAAAACCTCTTTTTTTAATCTATTACAGGTCAGCATGCACTGTATTGCACATCTGCCTCTGTGCTGGTGAAGTTGTGGGTCTGGAGGATGAGTGTGAGGAAGATGTTTGTGGAGGAGGTCAGTAGTGCTCTGTCCTGCAGAAGGTACCAGCAAACCATAGGCTGCATGGTGGCGCAGTGGTTAGCGCTGTTGCCTCGCAGCACGAAGGTAGCAGGTTCGAAACTCAGCTCGGCTGCGGCCTTTCTGCATAGAGTTGCATGTTCTCCCCATGCATGCGTGGGCTTCAAGCCAGGTACTCCGGTTTCCCCCACAAATCACAACATGCCCTATAGGTTAAAAATTGTCAGTCGCTTTGGATAAAAGCGTCTGCTAAATAAATAAACATAAACTGCTGTTAACAGGCAAGTCATTTATGTAGAACCTTTATTAAAAACAACACTGTGGTTTTATTTGCTGAAGAGTCACAATTGTTATACCAGTGGATCCATAAACCATCTCCTCTATTCATATTTCTGAATACATCTTAGAGATGTAACAGCCGTCGTCTGAGCCAGCCCAGCAGTCCCTGTAGATGGACGATGGAGTGGACAGTGAGAGGAAGCGTCCCAAAGCTCTCTCTGCTGACCGTCCTGTATGATGTTCCTCTGACCAGAAACGTCCAGCCACGGGTTTGCTCCAGCCCTCCATCCACGTCTGGATCCTCCTGCAGCAGATCCAGCTGCACTGATAAAGACTTCCTGCTCACTCAGTTTGAATAAATGATCCAGGAAGAGTCACTCAGGTTAATCCTGCTTTAACCGAACATAACTGGTCCATACTGGTTTTGATCTGTAAATAAGTGTAACGTATTATAAATAATCTCTTCTCCTTACCATCTTTTCACGCTCTGTTCATGTAACATGTTCAAAAACATCTGTAATAATAAAACTGGTGATAAAATCAATGACCAGAAAGAGTTATCATTTAGTATTTGTTTTTATAAATGTGCTAAAATATCAAACAGCTAATTAACATTAACATGATGACAGTAGAAGGCCTCTCTCCCAGGAGGACCACCAGGTAAAGCCTCTCCTGACCCTGGACACCTGCAGTCCTACAGAGAAAATCAGAGACCGCAGGTGACAAAAAGGCAATAAACACATTTTTACATTTATCCACATGAGAAGATAAAAATTATATTGTTCACAAAAACACTTTTTGCTTCATTATAACGTGTCAGCTGTGTAAATCCCTGAATGTAAAACTACTTTTTACAGAAGACCTTCTGTGGTTGTGTGTAAACAGCTTCAGTCTTCACCTCTAAGCTTATTAAAAACACTTCTTTGCTCCGCTGACCTTAAAACAAATGACAAGTTTAATTCGCCACACACACACACACACACACACACACACGCACGCACGCACACACACACACACACACACACACACAAACAGGAATAACTGGAACCCGCGATACAAACTCGTTCTGGCTGATTTCTGCCTAAAATGTAATTTAAAAAACAAATATACAAACGAAAAATGTCTATAAACAGAACCACTTTAAGCTTTTTAGGTTTCTACAGCTAGTTTTTAACAAACTTACGTTTAAAACTTCGTAGCTCTCCCCATTTTCTCTTCCTGTTGAAAATCCACAGCCGGCACACAAAGCATGCTGGGATAGCCTTGTTCTGTGAGGATACAACAGACCCGTCCTCGTAATGTGGGCGGAGCAAGGCCGCATTTGAGGACACGAGAATGAGTATTCTTGGAATTCAGACAGTACTCGTCACTGCGCTGTGACGTCATCAACCTCAAAATGCCCTCTTACAAGCATCCATCCCGTGGATTTGGACACACCCTTAGACCCGCTCCTTGTATTTTAGAATGGATTTTTATGGTTATATGTTAAGAAGCCGTCAGTATTTTTATTTTGACTGTCCCGGGCCAAATGTTTTTATATTAATTCATTTTCAGCAACATTTTGATGGAAATTTCCAGAGATGAATGATATCAACTACACATTGTCCCTTTAAAGACAGACTGAAGCTAAAGACATCATACAGCCTACTTTTTAGGCCAATCAGAGGCAAGATGTTTGCATATCTTGAATCTTAATGAGTAGCCCCTACACACCGGAAGCATTAGTGGCACGTCTCTGCTTCAAATAGAATCTGTTATAGTGTGTGGGAGCGATTCAAACCAGCCGCGTCTGGAACGTTTTCAGGTGGGTCACAGAAGCACCTTGCTGCGCCCCACCGCTATAGATGGGATTGGGTTCTGTTTTTGCCTCAAGCCGCTTCTGGGACATGACAATTTCCACAGATAACATAAAGCTAGACAGGAAATCCTACAGTTTCAGTAAAACCCCCCCGGAATTTTCAAAATAAAAGATGGTTGCAGCAATGCCACTTCATAGCTATGTAGATTACGCCAATACGTGTGACCTAACGGCTTGTTTACTCCCAGCACCGTTCCAGAAGTGCAGCAGTGTTTTTCCTGGCTGCAATCCTGGCAGTGGAGAGGAACATCATCATATATGACATCAAACAGCGATATCAAACGTGATTTCCTTGTGTTTGGTTTAATGGCGGATGTTCTCTTCCTTGTATAAAGTACAAATTTCCCCACCAGACAGTCATTTCCTCCTTTATCAGGTTAGTCAGATGAAGGTGAAAGTGCTTCAGAAATTAGCAGCGTCTAATTTTTTCAGAGTGCTCTGCCTTGTTTTTTGTTTAAGTCCTGCCAGTTTTAATCATCCTGCTCCTACGATTTCTCTCCTGTGCTCCCAGTGAGCTCCTCTGATTCAAAGTTAATAACGTGTTGCGTTTGCGTCGTGCAAAATGAAAAGGCTCGTACTGCAGCTCCCATTAATACTGAACCAAAACACTCAAAGGAAACCGCAAATGTGCTGCATGACTCAAAACACTTTCAATAATTATTGCAAAGGCACTAATTAAGTTTTGATCAAGGCTACACCAGAACGTTGAAGAAATGACAATAAATGTTGGAGCTGGATGAAATGGTGATTAATAACTGACTCTTAAGCTCCCCATCTGTCCTAGAGTCAGTTATCCGTCCACTCCAGCTAAACAAGGACTCCAGGGATGATCCGGACCTGCGTGTAGACGAGAAGTTCTTCACAGAGACCCTTCATTCCAACCCAGCATTAGCGGTGTGATTGAGTGTGTGCTGTTTACCATCGAGTGTTGGACCGCTGGCTGGTTAGTTTTCCGTCAGCAGATATGCCTGTCATCACATAGGTCCAAGAGCTTGACCCTGGCCAAGATATGAACTAATATCAACCTCTGATAGCACTAAAGTATGCCCCAAAATGAGTGTGTGTGTGTGTGTGTGTGTGTGTGTGTGTGTGTGTGTGTGTGTGTGTGTGTGTGTGTGTGTGTGTGTGTGTGTGTGTGTGTGTGTGTGTGTGTGTGTGTGTGTGTTTGTGTGTGTGTGTAGTACAACAGATAAGAAAGTGTGTATGTGTGTACATGGTTGGAAAAGACGGTAGCATGTGTGTGGGTGTGTGTGTGTGGGTGTGTGTGTGTGTGTGTGTGTGTGTGTGTGTGTGTGTGTGTGTGTGTGTGTGTGTGTGTGTGTGTGTGTGTGTGTGTGTGTGTGTGTGTGTGTGTGTGTTTGTGTGTGTGTAGTACAACAGATAAGAAAGTGTGTATGTGTGTACATGGTTGGAAAAGACGGTAGCATGTGTGTGTGTTTAATAGTCTGCTTACTGTTTTATGGTGGCAAATCGTTCGTTCTGTCTCATCTCACACACCGCTGGACTGCAGGGTCTGCATAAGCCTGATAACACACAGAAGCGCTAGGTCAAGCACACCCACAAGCAGTAGCTCTCCCGCACTCTCTGCCAGACATTGTTGCATCCAGACCGATCCAGACCTACGCAGACACACGCACCATGGCTAAACCCTGACTTTCCAGAGCAGTAAATTCAGCAGCCTGTTGAGTAAAGTGTAGCTCCTGCTGGGAAGGTCAGGTTAAGTTGTTGGAGCTTGTATTTGTGTGAAGCTCTGTGAAGGCTAAAACTTCTGTGGTCCGATGCATTGTGTTGTTTTCTGTTCCTGCAGGATCGTATGAGTTGAATCCTTAAAGTGACGGTGTATATTTTCCCTGGTGACGGGGGCAGTACTTACCTAAATCATTGCAGGCAAGCAATATTTTTGTGTTAGAGTAAGACCTTACTAACGGGTGGCCATTAGGGTCAAAAGTCCCTGGTAGCACAACCTCCAGCTAAATGACAAGCACCTCAGACACCACAAGTTTGTAAACACATTTTGTCCTCATGGGCTCTCGTAGAAGGAAACATGCCATCGCCCAGAATCATAGACCCACTCCCATGTATTTTAGACCTGATTTTCATGAATTCATGTTATGAAGTTGCCAATATTATTCAACAGATTTCTCCCATTTTAGATATAATCAATCTATCCTTAGCAAATGGATGTTAAGGTTGATGCAATCAAACCTTTACTTAAGAAGCCTCTGGATCCAGATGACCCAATGAATTATAGACCAATATCTAACCTTCCATTGTTATACAAAGTCCTGGAGAAAATAGTGGCCATCCAAGTATGTGAGCATCTAAACACTAATGATCTGTTTGAGGAATTTCAGTCTGGTTTTAGAGAGTATCACAGCACTGAAACTGCATTAGTGAACGTTACAATGATATTCTCATGGCCTTGATAAGAATCTTGTGTCTGTTCTAGTCTTGTTAGATCTCAGTGCTGTTCTCAGGGAACATTTTCTAAGTGACAAGTCTCGCTTCAGTCGGAGGAATCTTCCTGCATGCGCCCTGGTTCTGCGACGCGCTCCAAGCCCATCTCCACATCTTCAGCTCACTGTGCGCCGTACGTACACGCTGACAGCGAGCTGCGCTGAGCAATGTCCAGCTCAGATATTCAGATGGGAATCTTTTCTTGAGTGATTTAGCTACATCTGCGATGTGCGTAACGAATAAAATGTCAGTTCGTCTGCATGCGTCGGGGTAATTCTTTCTATTCTTTCTCCGTCAAAATAAACGGTCGAATACGGGAACTGTCCGGTCAACACAACACAAGCCCTGCTTTTAACTGTTCTGTTTTCTTGTGAAAATTGTTACAAATTAAACTTGATTAACACCAGAGCCAGGCGCACTGCGCCGTTATCTCCGTCACTGTAAATGAGGGAAAAACAAAATGATCGGATCCTTTTCTGACCTTCCCCACCTACAAAGTTTAATTACAACAATCAAACGTGACAGAGCCTGGATTTGTATTCTGAACAGTCTAAACATGTTTTAAAAAGAAACGTATGACAAAAGTGGCACCTGCTCAGTAAAACCACCAACAGGGTGAAAAATATAAAAATATTGTAGGCAGACGGGCTACAACTTCTGGATCCACTTTATACAAATCGTCTCTCGTCTCGTCTTCCTCCGCTTATCCGGGTCCGGGTCGCGGGGGCAGCATCCCAACTAGGGAGCTCCAGGCCATCCTCTCCCCGGCCTTGTCCACCAGCTCCTCCGGCAGGACCCCAAGGCGTTCCCGGACCAGATTGGAGATGTAACCTCTCCAACGTGTCCTGGGTCGACCCGGGGGCCTTCTGCCGGCAGGACATGCCCGAAACACCTCCCCGGGGAGGCGTCCAGGAGGCATCCTGACCAGATGCCCAAACCACCTCAACTGGCTCCTTTCGATCCGGAGGAGCAGCGGTTCTACTCCGAGTCCCTCCCGAATGTCCGAGCTCCTCACCCTATCTCTAAGGCTGAGCCCGGCCACCCTACGGAGGAAACTCATTTTGGCCGCTTGTATCCGCGATCTCGTTCTTTCGGTCATTACCCAAAGCTCATGACCATAGGTGAGGATTGGGACGTAGATCGACCGGTAAATCGAGAGCCTGGCTTTCTGGCTCAGCTCCCTCTTCCCCACGACAGATCGGCTCAGCGTCCGCATCACTGCAGACGCCGAACCAATCCGCCTGTCGATCTCCCGATCCCTCCTACCCTCACTCGTGAACAAGACCCCGAGATACTTAAACTCCTCCACTTGAGGTAGGACCTCTCCCCCGACCCGGAGGTGGCAAGCCACCCTTTTCCGGTCGAGAACCATGGTCTCAGATTTGGAGGTGCTGATCCTCATCCCAGCCGCTTCACATTCGGCCGCGAACCTACCCAGCAAGAGCTGAAGGTCAGAGCTGGATGAAGCTAGGAGGACCACATCATCCGCAAAAAGCAGAGACGAGATTCTCCTGCCACCAAACTCGACACACTCCACACCACGGCTGCGTCTAGAAATTCTGTCCATAAAAGTGATGAACAGAACCGGTGACAAAGGGCAGCCCTGGCGGAGTCCAACCCTCACTGGGAACAGGTCCGACTTACTACCGGCTATGCGGACCAAACTCACGCTCCTCTGGTAAAGGGACTGAATGGCCCTTAACAGAGAGCCACCCACCCCATACTCCTGGAGCGTCCCCCACAGGGTGCCCCTGGGGACACGGTCATAAGCCTTCTCCAAATCCACAAAGCACATGTGGATTGGTTGGGCAAACTCCCATGCCCCCTCCATCACCCTTGCAAGGGTATAGAGCTGGTCCACAGTTCCACGGCCAGGACGAAAACCACATTGCTCCTCCTCTATCTGAGATTCAACTATCGATCGGACCCTCCTCTCCAGTACCTTGGAGTAGACCTTTCCAGGGAGGCTGAGGAGTGTGATCCCCCTATAGTTGGAACACACCCTCAGGTCACCCTTCTTAAAGATGGGGACCACCACCCCGGTCTGCCACTCCCTAGGAACTGCCCCCGATGACCACGCAATGTTGTAGAGACGTGTCAACCATGACAGCCCTACAACATCCATAGCCTTGAGATACCCAGGACGAACCTCATCCGCCCCCGGGGCTCCGCCGCTGTGTAGTTGTTTGACTACCTCAGCAACTTCTGCCCCCGAGATCGGACAGTCCATCCCCAGGCCTCCCAGCTCTGGTTCCTCCTCGGAATGCGCATTGGTGGGATTGAGGAGCTCCTCAAAGTATTCCTTCCACCGTCCGACTATAGCCCCAGTTGACGTCAGCAGCTCCCCATCCCCACTGTAAACAGTGTGAGCGAGTTGCTGCCTTCCTCTCCTGAGGCGCCGGACAGTTTGCCAGAACCTCTTTGGAGCCGATCGATAGTCTTTCTCCATGGCCTCACCAAACTCCTCCCACGCCCGAGATTTTGCCTCGGCAACTGCCACTGCTGCACCCCGCTTGGCTATCCGGTACCTGTCTGCTGCCTCCGGAGACCCACAGACCAGCCATGCCCTGTAGGCCTCCTTCTTCAGCCTGACGGCTCCCCGAACCTCTGGTGTCCACCAGCGGGTACGGGGGTTGCCACCACGACTGGCACCGGCCACCTTACGACCACAGCTAGCAACAGCCGCCTCGACAATCGCAGAGTGGAACAAGGCCCACTCGGACTCAATGTCCCCCACTGCTCTCGGGACGTGGTCAAAGCTCTGCCGGAGGTGGGAGTTGAAGACCGTCTTGACAGGTTCTTCTGCCAGGCGTTCCCAGCAGACCCTCACTATGTGTTTGGGTCTGCCAGGTCTACGCGGCATGTTCCCTTGCCATCTGATCCAACTCACCACCAGGTGGTGATCAGTTGACAGCTCTGCCCCTCTCTTCACTCGGGTGTCCAAAACATACGGCCGCAGGTCAGATGATACGACTACAAAATCTATCATCGACCTGTGACCTAGGCTGCCCTGGTACCAAGTGTACCGGTGGGCATCCTTATGTTCGAACATGGTGTTCGTTATGGCCAAACTGCGGCTTGCACAGAAGTCCAATAACAAAACACCGCTCGAGTTCAGATTAGGTGGGCCGTTCCTCCCAATCACACCCCTCCAGGTCAAGCTGTCATTGCCCACGTGAGCATTGAAGTCCCCCAGCAGGACAATGGAGTCCCCTGATGGAGCACTATCTAGCACTCGTCCCAGGGACTCCAAAAAGGGTGGGTACTCTGAACTGATATTTGGCCCATAAGCACAAACAACAGTCAGGACCCGTTCCCCGACCCGAAGGCGCAAGGAAGCTACCCTCTTGTCCCCCGGGGTAAACCCCAACACACAGGCAGAGAGTCTCGGGGCTAACAAAAAGCCAACCCCAGCCCTCCGCCTCTCACCCGGAGCAACTCCAGCAAAGTAGAGTGTCCAACCCCTCTCCAGGTCTCGGGTTCCTGAGCCAATGCAATGTGTTGAGGTGAGTCCGACTATATCTAGCCGGTACCGCTCAACCTCTGCCACAAGCTCCGGCTCCTTCCCCGCCAGCGAGGTGACGTTCCATGTCCCAAAAACTAGTTTTCTTGTCCGGGGATTGGACCGCCAAGGCTCCCGCCTTGGTCTGCCACCCGATTCGCATTGCACCGGACCCTTCATGTTCCTCCTGCGGGTGGTGGGTCCACAGTTGGACGAGCCCATGTATCCGGTTCGGGCTGGGCCCGGCCGGGCCCCATGGGCGAAAGCCCGGCCACCAGGCGCTCGCTCACGGGCCCCAACCCCAGGCCTGGCTCCAGGGTGGGACCCCGGTAACCCTCCGGGCCGGGTACTCCGACTCTTCGTTTTAACCGCCATGAAAGATCCTTCGAACCGTTCTTTGTCTCACCCTTCACCTAAGACCAATTTGTCATGGGAGACCCTACCAGGGGCACCAAGTGCCCCAGACAACATAGCTCCTAGGATCATTAGGGCACTCAAACTCCTCCACCACGATAAGGTGACGGTTCAAATCGTTTTATTGATTATCGTCTTATGAAAGATAGCTTTGACGTACACGAGCGACCGGTACTGGCTGCTGTCACCTGTTGTGATTGGTTAAAGCAGCTCTCTGCTGTCTGAGGGTAGGCCCCGCCCACAACGCCACGGCTGCTGTGGCTCCCAGTGTTTTCTTTGCTGTGGGAAACGTGTAATAATGGCTCTTTGATGGGAACAGGTTGCCGACCCCTGGCTTAGATCCATGAAAAAAACAATAAAGCACTGATTTCCCACATTGACTATTCTGCACAATTATAATGTTAAATGTCATTGGAAAGCTATTGTGTGTCACAAACATTTTAATATGAAACCTGTCAAATCAACCCATTAAAAACTGTTTTCTGATCATTAGTTAATGTGTCAGGCTTTAAAGGATTAACTGTCTCTCTAGGCTGATAATATCATTGCACACGGCTGCAGATTTCTCTCTCTGAGTCTGAATGGCAGTTAGACTGTGAGAGAGAAGAGAACCATGATTAATACGACTAGCTCTTTTCTCTCCCAGAGAAAGGTAAATCTTCTATAACTGATTAGCTACAGATTTACCTGCTGTATGCTGAGTGCTAAAGCCTAGCACTGCCAATAACGTTATAATGATGAACTCATTTCATTAACTTTAAGTAGCGTACACATTTCTTTAGAAAATAGCTCCTTATGTCCTCAACCGTTTTATTTTTGCCTTCATCCTCACTTAAACTACTTTTTTGAGACTCTTATTTTGAAAAATGGCAACGGTGTTCTGCTGAGCTGTGGTAGCTTCATGGAGGGGGCCATCGCCTAGCACACTACTGCTAACTACTTAAACATTCTCCCTCTCCTGATAATAACATTTTACTCTCTTTGACATTGAATGTGCTACTACTAGTTAAC